ACATATAGCGACATACAAAAATTGTCACTATAAATACAATATATGTAGGTATATATATATATATATATTTGACATATAGTTATACACAATTTTAGTGTTGATTTTAAATGAGATTTAACAACATATTTTGTATGTCATTATAGCTTATACTTACACTTTTTAATAATTTACCAACATATATTATAGTTATTGTGTGAATAAAAAGAATTTTTAGTGACATGTATAGTATCACTATACGGTGTGTGTCACTATATGACAATTTTCTTTGTAGTGAGTAATTATTCACGGTATAAAAAAATAATACAAAATACATAATTCTTAATAAGATACTCCTATTCAAGGTGCTTAAACGAGGGATTTCCTTATATGTACTTATACTTTTTTAGGGGGAAATAGAAAACGTAAGTTATTATTTTGAATTGGTTAAAATATACCTAAAAATGTAATTCGTTAAAAGTACTATTTTTAAAATAAATAAAAAATATAAGGGAGACGTGTGTTTTAAACCAAATAAAAAATTGTGAATTAACGTTCTCGTCACATCTAATATAGTAAAAGTAATAATAAATATTAAATAATAATTTTTCTGTCAATTGATGCGATTGCAATTTTGGATATGGATTCTGAATATGCATTAAAACATATCATCTATGAGAATTAATTAATACACGATCTTATCTATACAAATTATAATTATATGATTTAAAAATTATAATAATTATTTATTAAAACACTTTTGAAAATATGATTTGTTAACGTAATACTAAAGTATGATTGGGAGTAAATTAGGTCCCTTTGAAAATATCTGAAAGCGAACGAATTGGATCCTTCCGGGCGTGAGTTTCGTAGAACTTGTTTATGGCTGTATGCTTTTTTGGCTTTCATTCCTCTATTATTTGTTTTTTCCTGCTATTAATTTTGCGGAGAGAAGGCTTCACCCTTTACTCTCCCCGTTATTTTATTTTTCATCGAGGTTGATGTAAAAGAATTAACAAAATAATTGATATTTTAATTTTTTAAAATATTTATTATTTATTTTTTTATTATATTTTTTTAGATAGTTGGAGAAAAAATAAGTATATTAGAAATGAATAAATACATTGTTCAATAAACACACATTAATTATTAAGGATAAAAATAAAAAAAAGTTAATAAGTCATTAATTTTAGAAAAGTGACAATGATAAAAGAACAAACAAATATTCCCTCTATTTTTTTTGTTTGATGTTTAATATTTATGTACAAAAATTAAGAAAATAATTTATATTTTAATTTTTTAAAGTACTTATTACTTATTTTTCTGTTATACTCTTTAGGTAATTAGAGAAGAAATAAGTACATTAAAAATGAATAAACATATTATTCAGTAAATACGCATTAATTATCAAGAATAAAAATAAAATTAAAATTAATAAATCATTGATTTTATAAAAGTGATAATTAAAAAATAAAAAAATAATGTCAAAATGACTATAAATAAAAAATAGGGGGAGTAATGCCAAAATGACTATGAAAAAAATGGAGGAAGTATAATAGGATACTAGTTATGAGACATTATGTATGTTTATAAATTGGTCAACTTATATGTTTGACATTTTAAAATATTTAAGCATTTGGAGGATGTTTCAGAATTCGAATTTGAAGGCTTTAGCATTTTTATTTTAAAATATTTAAAAATTACTATTATTTATTAAATTAGTTAAGAGTTAATTACTTATACACGTTAGTGTAAAAAAAATTTACATTGACTATCAATTATATTTTTTAATTCTACCATGTCGCTGTAAACACATTTATTTTAAAAAAAAATTTCACATTTACTTTTTTACAGTAATTTCTTGATATTTAAAATTAAAGTAATTCAAATATCATGAATTTCAAATCTCTTGAATTTGTAAAAATTTTAATTCAAACACACTATAAAGCACGCATGAAATTGATTTACTGATCTTATTGAAGAAACAACGTATGTATGACAAAATCATTCTCTATCAAGAGTGTATTCGATAGGATTTTTAAAGAATTATAAATCTTTTTTACTTTAAAAAAATCTGTCAATATTAAAAATGACATAAACATTTCAGTAAATTATTTTGAATGATAAATTTTGTAAGACTTTTTAATAAAATTTATACATAATCCACTTATTTAAGAATGTTACAAAAACTTTTGATATTTCGTCTAACTTTTCTTTTTTTACATTTTATTTTCTTTATTTAAAATTTATCATTTATGTTATTTTTTTATTAATTATATTATTTTAAAATAAATTATATTATCCTTTGAAAAGTAATAAAATCCTGTATAAATACAAATTTATTAAAATTCATATCATAAAATCTTGATTAAATAAGTTTTTTTTTATAAAAAAAACCCTTAAAATTCATTACATTCCTTGAAGTGTTTTAAAAAAAATCTTAAAAATTATTAAATTTTAAAGTCTTTTAAAATTCACAATACTTTTTTGAACTGTGTTATAAAAATTGCAATCTATAATACATCCTTACACTAATTTAATTTGATGGTGCTTTTTTTTTTTTAAAATCCCTTTCATATAAAAAAATTGATTTTGTATAAGGTAGCCCACCCTAAAATTCATCTTCTTTTTTATGTAATTATAAATTAGTTTAATTTTTTTTTCTTTTGACTCATATTCAATCATTCACATTTTCAATCATTAGGTTAACCTAGTAGTTGGGTGAGGAGGGGTTGAGGTAGTTAGAAGCATGAGAATCTAGGTTCAATCCTCATTACGACCATCTTTGTAATCTTTCCTATTTTTAAAAAAAGCATATTTTATTTTAATTTTGATGGATTAAAAAAATATTGTTTTTAATTATTTTGAACCCTTGCATAAAATTAATTTCATTGATCGGTTAGAAATTTTTGCAACAAATTTAAAAACGTTATAATGGCAAGTATTTTTTTTGAAGCAGGCAAGTATTTTAAGAAACTTGATTTTATGATGTTATTTTTTAATTCAAGATTTATATATATATATATATATAAAGCATTAATTACCATTAAATTTTATTGTAAGTTTTAGGATGATATATTCATATCAGTTATTATTGCTAATTAACGTACGACCCGCTTGGAGTGATTTTCAGTTGTTAAGTTTCAAAAATTTTAAAATTACAATCGTCGATAGTGGAAATTAGAGAGAATAAATAAATAAAGAAAAAAAATATAACAAATAATGAGATGGAAATTAGAGAATGAATAAAAAAAATAGAAATTAGAGAGAGATAAAGAGAAAAATGGGATGAAAGTGAGATAGAATTGAAAATAAATATATGATAATAATTGTTGGAGAAATAAAGAAAAATAATAGATATATGAGATGTTTGAAGCAATAGATTGTTGAGATGTGATTCCTCATCCTTCCATGATCACATCGCTTAATTCCCTCTCCCTCGTCGTCACGTTGGGACCAAATACAGCCACCCCTAGTCCTACGTGATCTACAACGTAGTAATTCTCATAAGTAAAGCTTCTGTTCAAGTATATTGTTTTGTACTATAAATTTGTTGAGTTTTAAATAACTACTTTTATTTTTATACTATAAATAAATGATAATATACAATTTGGAGAGTGCATGTGACTCACCCTCTCTCTCATTCAAGTACATTGTCATCAAATTAAGTATATAAATTTGTTGAGTTTTATATAACTAAAAAAATAAATTTTAATCATGTATAAAACAAATTAACATTTATAATGTAATAGACGCCCTAAAATAAATTAGAATTAATTAAGAGTATAGAAATGTTTATATCCTAGAAGAAACCGCGGATAAATGGGTGGAGATTTGGAAAGAAGTATATTGGAAAATGTATATAATAATAATGCAATGCGTAGGAAGAATAAGCATTAGTGTGAGAAAGGAATGGGTAATTTAGTTTCTTCCTTGGTAGGGGGTTCCGGGAGCTACGCGGAGTCGCCGGAGAATTCTCGCGTGCAAGCCTTCCACTCATCGCCGCGCTGGCACCTCTACTTCAACCAGATCAAAGACTCTCCTAAGCTCGTAATTAATTATTCTCTCTCTCTCTCTCTCTCTTTCTAATCTCAACAATCTTCTTCTTATTTTTCCTTTATCAGGTTGTCATAGATTTCTCCGCCTCGTGGTGCGGTCCTTGCAAATTCATAGAGCCAGCCATTCACGCCATGTCGCAAAACTTCACCGACGTTGACTTCGTCAAGATCGACGTCGACGAATTATCTGTAATACTAATTAATTTTCAATTCCAATTTCGTTTCCGTGAATAATGAGTCTTAATTTTGTGGTTTGGTTTTGATAGGAGGTGGCGCAGGAGTACGGTGTGCAGGCGATGCCGACGTTCGTGCTGTTGAAGAAAGGGAAGGAAATTGACAATGTTGTTGGCGCCAAGAAGGAGGAGCTCGAAAAGAAAATTGAGAAGCATCGAGCTGCGTAATCTTTGCATATTCTATTCACCTATCACCTATATATGTATGTATCTATCATCTATCTTTCTTTTCAACCAAAATAAAACGACTATAAATATGCCTATGCCTTCCATCATTATCTACTTCTTACATTTTCAATTGTTCAGTTGCTTATGTGCATAACAAGATCATCTCTGTTTTTTTATTTTTTTTCCCCCCATTTTAAGATGGTGTGGCTCTGTTGCGTTTTTCTTTCAGGAAACGCTTCGTCCCCAATGCCGAACCCATTATTATATATCAGGATTTTGAAATTAACAACTTATTAAATATGTCGTTAAAAGTGTAAAATTTTGATTATATTTATATAAAACTAAAATAATAATATTGATATAATTAAATAGTTAAGTTTAATAACTTATTTAATAATTAATTTTTAAATTAAATATATTAATATCTTCTAAATTTAGAGATCAAAGTGGATTTTCGCTTGCATTTTAGTTACTTATTCCTTAGTCATGTCCTAGGCTGATCTCTCCGATGACAAGTTAAGGTTTTGGATATTGGTGTAATTATGTCAAAAGAACTTAGGTTATTATTTTCATTTTTTGGTTATAAAAAGTTTGGATTAAAGCAAAACACGACTTCATGTAAGGTTGAAGTTAATTACTAAATTGGATTTTGGAACAACCCGTCATGGTACTAAACGACATAATTATAAGGAGCGAAAAAAATTATAATATCATAAAACTATAAGTTTACTAATATTTGGATATGTACTACATACTATATTTGTGAAAATGAAATAACTAACTAAACATAGATGATGTATATACAATGATTCAATAAAGTAAATTGTACAATCTAAGTTGTTGATCACCTAAAGACGCTCATCAAAAGAAAACATCCAACTCCAGCACCATTGAAGGGCCTCCATTGCATAACTCCATACCTATCTTTGCCTACTTTCATACCATGTATGATCATTGTAGTTCAAACTAACATAGAAACACCCAAGGATAAGCTATAATTTAAAAGAAATAACATATATGCAACATGCAACATAAAAACATTGACAACTTTAATATATCATTACATCTTCATCTCATATCCAACACTATCAAGATGCGTTATCACAATACAACCAACATATATCAATATAAACAACTCAGTCTACTACAACAGAGTATCATCTCAAACATCATAATATCAACAACTCAAATTCTTCATCACAACAACAGTATTTATAACACAACAATTATATACATCGTCACACATTTCAACAAGGTGTTTAGTTTAAATGGCTTGACCCTATTGAACCAACAACATAGGATGATCTTTCTGGGCTTGTTAGATCCACAACTTAACAACTTGATTTCTCGGATGTTGTCACTTTAACAAGGAAGTCTGGTACCACTATCAAAGTAGAACAATTGGATACAGACATACGACATTAATTAGCTTAATTGAGTCTCTTGTGGGATCACTCCACTGACTATCCTCCAAATACTATGTCCTTCCGATACTCGATTAGAAACTAAGTTCTTGACTTCATACTTTACTCGATTGATCACTTATAATCAATATAACTCAACTTGACCCATATGCCATGGTCGCTTTATACACACGTATCTTGACCTTGTCCACATACGATACAAACTAAGTCCTAGAAGAGATTCAACAAGGGTATCCACTTCAAGGTCAACTTTCCAATAAGAGTTTTCAACAAATTGTCCTCTTAGAGCACCATAATACAATATCCATATGATGGGATATGCAACTTTTAAACTTCTTCTCTAATCTTAGGTTGGTCATCACAATTGAACAACACAAAAACATCATACATATTCAACACAACTACACATCCAACACACAACTCTACAACTCACAACACAATCATCACATACAACACCATCCCTACTTAGTCATCAAAAAACTCAATCATCAAGTATTCAACAACTCATCAAATAAATCAACATGTTATCATTTTGCAAACAGTGTCTGACGTAACACACTCTATGCCCAGGGTCATCGAGGTTGGGAACTCTTTATCTCACCTACACCCGATGCTACAGAACTTGCGTCTAGCATGGATAAGGTAGAGGCCCTTGAGACCTCGCGCCTAGCGTGGCCAAATACCTCACTCGACCCCATTCCAGGCAAGAGTTTCTACTTGACTCACACTCGGCGTCACCATACCAACGTCTAACATCATCAAGACAAAAAGCTCTAGCTTGGCCAAGTAGGTGTCACTCAACCTTGGGTCCAATGTCACCAAGTTAGAAACCTCCCAAGGTTCTCACACATGACACCATATGAACCACGCCCGATGTCATTCCAACTTGAGATAATTAGAGACAATATCCCTTAATATGTGGATCCAATGATTTGCCTTGATACTGTCAATCATTGTCATTAATGTAATTACCAATCAATGGCTGTCAGCATTATTTGCTGCCTTATTTGCTTGTAGTATCTTAATGCTAGCCTTAATCATAGGATCATGTATTGCTAGCATTTGCTATATATGTACACTGTAATCATCAGATCAAACATATCGTCTTTTACCTCTCATTACATTTTCTAACTTGGTATCAGAGCTCTTAAGCCGTGAAGGCTCTTGATCCAATACAAATCATGGCATCCGCTGCAGATTCAAAATCCAAAAATGATCTCCCATCCACTATGTCTGTCAAGTTGGACAGAGACAACTATCCACTATGGAAATCCTTGGTGATCTCTATAGTCAAAGGCTGCAGGCTCGATGGGCACATGCTAGGGACAAAAGAGTGTCCTGAAGAATTCATAGCTTCTACAGATTCAAGCAAGAAGCCAAATCCTGCCTTTGAAGATTGGCAGGCTCATGATTCACAACTCCTTGGATGGTTGATGAATTCAATGACTATTGAAATGGCAACACAGTTGCTGCACTGTGAAACCTCAAAACAACTTTGGGATGAAGCTCAAAGCCTAGCAGGTGCACACACAAGGTCTCGAGTCACTTACCTTAAATCTGAGTTTCACAGCATCAGAAAAGGAGAGATGAAAATGGAGGAGTATCTGGCCAAAATGAAGAATCTCGTTGACAAGCTTAAACTTGCAGGCAGCCCCATTTCCAACTCAGATCTAATCATTCAAACCCTGAATGGTTTAGATTCTGAATACAACCCTATGGTGGTCAAGCTATCTGATCAAACTAGTCTCACTTGGGTTGATCTGCAGGCTCAATTACTGACCTTTGAGAGTAGACTTGATCAACTGAATAGCCTCACCAACCTAACCCTTAATCCTTCTGCAAATGTTGCCAACAAAACTGATTACAAAGGCAACAAATTCAACACAAACAACAACTGGAGAGGTAAAATTTTTAGAATCCATCAAACAACTCAATGTTGTGTTTTCCCTTAAGGACCTTGGTCGACTGCACTACTTCCTAGGCATAGAAGTTCAAAGAGATGCATCTGGTATGTACTTTAAGCAATCGAAATACATAGGAGACATCCTGAGAAAATTCAAAATGGAAAATGCCTCATCTTGTCCAACACCAATGGTAACTGGCAAGCAATTTACAACTGAAGGGGAGAAGTTAAAAGACCCAACCGTGTTCAAACAAACTATAGGAGCATTGCAATACTTAACAAACATAAGGCCTGAAATAGCATTCTCAGTTAACAAGCTCAGCCAATTCATGAGCTCTCCCACTATAGATCACTGGTAAGGCATCAAAAGAATATTGAGATATCTTCAAGGTACCATCCAACACTGTCTACACATTAAACCATCCACTGACTTGGACTTAACAGGCTTCTCAGATGCAGATTGGGCCACAAGTGTGGACGATAGAAAATCCATGGCAGGTCAATGTGTCTTCCTTTGTGAAACACTTGTTTCTTGGTCCTCAAGGAAGTAAAAGGTAGTCTCAAGATCTAGTACAGAGTCAGAATATAGAGCCCTGGCTGACTTAGCTACTAAAATAGCATGGACTCGTTCACTCCTTGATGAGTTGAGACTCCCTCTGCCAAGAAAACCAACACTGTGGTGTGATAACTTGAGTGCCAAGGCATTAGCTTCAAATCCAGTTATTCATGCTCGATCAAAACACATTGAAATTGATGTGCACTACATCAGAGACCAAGTGCTGCAAAATGAGATTGTTGTGGCCTATGTTCCATTAGCTGATCAAATTGCTGACTACCTCACTAAAGCATTAACTCACACACGATTCAACCAACTCAAAGACAAACTTGGGGTGACTCTCTCACCCATCAGTTCGAAAGGGGGAATTAGAGACAAGATCCCTTAATGTGTGGATCCAATGATTTGCCTTGATACTGTCAATCATTGTAATTAGTGTAATTACCAATCAATGGCTGTCAACATTATTTGTTGCCTTATTTGCTTGTAGTATCTTAATGCTAGCCTTAATCATAGGATCATGTATTGCTAGCCTTAATCATAGGATCATGTATTGTTAGCATTTTCTATATATGTACACTGTAATCATCAGATCAAATACACCGTCCTTTACCTGTCATTACATTTTCTAACTTTCTAAGTGTGCCTAAATGAATCATGATAATTTCCATATTTTGATGATCCATAAATCTCTTCTCATGTGTTGATTCATACCATATGTTCTTTGTGAATCATCTTGGAATTTTAGGCTTTCTTATTTAGGTTCTTGCCTTTTTCTTTAAATTGTTGAGTTGCTGGAAATTTCGGGTTGCATGTTATACATTAATGTTTTTATTTTTTTAATCCATCCGATTTTTTCATGAGCTTGTCTCTTTGATCTACCTTGAAAAAAATTCCAAGTTTTATGCTTAACCATTGAAATGAGAAAAATATATGACATGCATGCCATATGTTTGATGATTTGGCCCTGACTTATATGTGCTTTAGAGAAGTCAATCATGCATGCTAATTAGTTATAGCATGTTCTACATTCCTAAAATATCATGTGTGATTTCATTCTTTACACATCTTTGCCTTGAAATCTTTTGCCAAATTTGATCTATCTCCTAGTGCACTTGTATGCCTATATATTGTTTGATGTTTTGAGCATGAGTGTGAATTTTATGTGCACATTTTACTGCTGGACATTTGCACACTAAAAATTTTAAAATTCACTCAAGTTGTCGTCTCATTAAGCCATCACAAAGTATTATAAAGAATACTCCTAAAATTATTGTTAAACTATTTGTTGGACACAAGTGTAAAACCCAAGCAAAGGAAGGATTATAGTATAAAAAAAAAGAGAAAAGTGGCTGGACCTTGAACATCAAAACCGAGACTTGGACAAGCACAAAAAGAACAAAAGAAACAAAAACAAGAAAAAGGGAACCTTGCTAGACTTGTGGACTTTGGGACAAAACTTTTCCTACCTTAGCAATGGAGTTATTCTTGGACCTTTGAACAAACTAGTGTATGGCTATATGCAACATTAAATCAAACATATTAAGTGCATCGTTCCATTTTAAGCCTACTTGCTAAATTCTATTCTAGTGCCATTCTAGGAATTATTCTCTTGTGTGCTTACCTTTCTTTAATGTGCCTTAATTTTAGTTTTTGAGTCTTTCTTCTATTCTTAAGTTTGTCTCATCAAACTTCACTTGAGTTTAGCCTTTTTAATTGTTCCTTTTTAGTTTTTTTCCTTCTTCATCTTAGGCCACCAAAACATCTTTTTGATTCAACTTCTTTACTTGACTCATCTATCTTCTGACCTTCTTTAATCTCATCTATCAAGCTATTAGTCACTCTCAAAGCTCCCAACTTAATACTCTTAGAGGTCAACTTACACCCTAAGTTTATATCCCTAAACTCCTCAATCATAAGCAATTCCCTAATCATCAAAGAAAACACTCTAAAAAATTTTCTACTTAAAGTGTCAGCTACAACATACGCCTTACCGGGGTGATAATTCAATTGGAAGTCATAATCTTTAAGAAACTCTAACCATCTCCTCTACTTCTCTTTTCACCTTAGACCATCACGCTTCCGCTGTGTCATTCTGATACATTTTAATATCTCCTAAATGAATACTAAAAGTACTTTTATGTCTTTCCTCTAAGATCATCATCTTCCTTAATTCGAGATTACTAGGCACATAGATTCTATCTTTGAATCTCAAAACACCATCAACTTCCAAGCGTAAAGGGCTATCTATACCTCTATCAATCTTTTCCACTTGGCTCACTAAGAAAGGATTTAACTCCTGGGTCCTCTAATCACATCTATTAATCTATTAGTCCTTTCAACATACTCAATTCAATGCTCCTAAGGGTGAGCTTACACATCACGCTTAAGTTTCTAATCTCTTCAATCAAATTCAACCCTTACATTATCAAAAATGATAGATAAATGACCATCCTACTTAAGGCATTTGTCACCATATTACTTTAATTTTTATGACCCTCTCCAAGAATCAAGTACTTAAGCATAAGTTAACTAAGTACATATAATCAATCTCTAAGTCTTACCATCCTATCTATACCCAAGGCAACCTCATATATACTACCTTGTCTTGTGGTCTCATGTCTTGCCATCAAAATGAATCAATTAATTATGTTTCTCTAATTTTCCTTAAATAGTCTATTTTTTTACTCGAGTCATACCTAATTTCACACTAATAGGAGTAATTTCACAAGTCAAACTTAACTTCCTAATGTGAGCTAAAAGATACATCCCTTTAACCATAAGAGGAGATATATATAGAGGTTTCCTACTCAAAGTATCGACCACCACCTTGGGTTTTTCCAAATAACAACTAAGATTAAAATTTTAATCCTTAACAGTTTCCAACTAGCTCTTCTGTCTCATATTCAACTCCTTTGGATCAAACAGATATGTAAGATTCTTATGATCACTAAATATCTCAAACTTAGAATCATACCAGTAATGTCTCCAAAATCTTAAGTGTAAATATTACAATCTCTAATTCAAGGTTATGGGTAAGGTAATTTTTTCTCATGAATTTTCCATAACTAGATGCCTAGAAATATAAGCTACTACCTTTCCTTCTTGCATCAATAATCCACTCAAACCCGTCTTCGAAGCATCACTATATAACACATAAGACTTACTAGAGTCCGATAATTTTAACACTAGTCAATCTTTCCTTAAGAGTTTGAAAACTACTTTCACACTTACTATTCCATAAAGGCAACTCTCTCTTCTTGGTTAATCCAGACAAAAGTAATGTTATCTTAGATGACTCTTTCTCCTCACACTTCGTGCCATCGATCCTCTGTCTGACGTGAACGAGATAGAAAGTCTCATGTTGGAATGATGCCCAATGTCTCGAACGCGTCTCGACACGATATCAAAAATTTGTATATGCAGAACTCGATTTTGACCCAAAACCTAAAATTCAACAAGGATCCAACACATGCAACACCAAACAACAATTATACACATCACAATAAACACAAATATGTACTTAAAATCAACATGCAACAACAAATCATTCAAAATCATCCATTCTCGATAAGAACCTCAAACCCCAACCTTCCTTTGCAACCCTTTCTGATTGGTCAACTCAACCATGAATTTCAATGGAGTTCATACAACATACAACTCAAAAAATCCTGATAAAACTCAACTACTCAACCAAAATCACCAAGTCCAACTACCCTTGCCTCAAAACCTAAGAGAATCGAGGAAGGACAAGAAGAAGACTCTAAACGATTTTTAACACAACTCTGAATTCCTAAGCACCTAAATTCACCAATAAGACAACACAATGAGAAGCAAAGAAGGAAGAGGAGGAGATTAAGAGAAAAGAGAAGCCCACGAACCATAGTTTCTCTTTAGAATCCTCTCACTAGACTTTTGAGAAAAAGAGTTTATGAGGTTCTATTCAAAACAAAAGCTTTATATATTCTTTATCTTGGAGTCAAACTGGTCTTCTGCCTAGAGAAATCTCCAACATTATTAAAACTCTTAAGAGATTCTCAGATTCTAGAGTCTTTCAACACTAAACAAAACTCTAGATTAACAACACAAAAATGACTTGAAATATTTATAACACTTTACAACTTATAGTGTTACATATTCAATTCTAGAAGGGACAAAAAGACTTAACAAATTGTGTTGTCCTTTAGGAGGAAATAAGTTATCTTATTTGAGAAGTGAATGAATTCCTCATTCAAAAACAATTTACTTGACTTCCTTGCCACTATCTGTGTAATTTCTATCTTGTTAATCATATAAAAAAAATTAACTACCTTGTTACTCTTTTTAATGAAGAAGAACTATTTTCTAAGGTCATTTCCATGGTTCTTAAATATATGAATCAATTTTTACAAATTTTATCATTAAAGCAAGATATTGTACATGTTACATGTAAAAATAATTCTTATATAATAATTTTCAAGAACATGTTCTTAAATAATAAAATTATTTTGAATAAAAAATCTAGACTCCATTGTGTATTCCGCATAAAGTGAATTAAGAATTCAAGTTAAATTATTCTATTGAATTAAAAATAAATAAAATTTTAATATAACAAAAACACTTGTGTGATATTTCTTGCCTTCTAACCTTGATTTTATACCATTTATATCATATTTATGGATCTCAAAATTTTGGTATTTAATTTATAGATTAATTGAACAATTATTATGTGTTAAATACCTTATTTCCATAAATCACATATAACTCCTTGTTGAGCCTAAACTAATGCCTCAAACCATATTACACATTAGGCAGATGTTGGTGAATTGTGTAGTCCAAATTCAAAAATACATCAATCACTTAAAACATTCTCTATATATTTATGACTTGGTACATTAATCTCTTAGTCTCAAGCACAAGAGGTAAAGACTAAAGAGGTTGTAAGATGTCAATCTTATTTTTATCTAAAAGTATATTTCTAAGGTTTACATTAGTCCTCAATCTTAAGCCCAAGGTGCAACTAAACAAAAATGTTATAAGATATCAATATTATGTTTTGTTTAAGAATATTTTCTCGATATATTTTCAGGATATTCTAGTTCTCTTCATAAATTTATTTTTATTATTTAATATCTTATTTGATAAACAAACAAAGGAGTCCAATAAAGATATATTTTCTAAAAAATATATTAAAACTCAAATTTAATTAAAATATTTAAATATATATTATCATGTCATCATGACCAATAATTTATCTCAAATAACTTATTTTAACAAATTAACAATAAACTAAAACTATTTAATTGATAAAATATAAAAATTAAATGTGCCATAATTTTTTTTAGAAAGTTAAAATTACACGGTTATCAAATAAAATGGATTGAATGTGAATTTAGGTTTATTTTCTTTCTCCTATTCTATAATTTATGTAGTAATTCATTTTACACATCCCTCCTACATTTAACCAATTTCTCTTCTAACTATTTCAAATTATTATTTTTTATTATTTTATCTTCGATTGATTTTCTTCATCAATCACCATTTTTTTTAAAAAAAAAATATTAACTCAACTTCTAAACATTCCAACATTTTTTAAAGAAATTATCAACAATTTTTTTTCTTCTTAAAATCTATATAATTATTATAAATTTATAATATAATTTATATTTATAATATTTATTCAGTACGCATTTTAATTATAATACGATTTATACATTTAAAAAAAATATTTATTAAAAATAAATATTTATAATTAAATATGAATATGAAAATCTTTATATTAAAATTGTAAAATAGAAGCCGAATAATGGTTGAAATATAGAACATTTAAGAAAGCATAGTAAGGAAAGAAGAGAGGTATCACCATTCATTCAGCTATGGGTAGTTTCATTTCTTCCTTACTTGGCTCCAGCTACGATCCGTCGGAGGCCTCGCCGGAGGATTCTCGCGTGTTGACCTTCCACTCCGCGCCACGCTGGCAGCTCCATTTCAACTCTGTCAAAGAAACCCCTAAGCTCGTAAAACCCTAGATCTCAATTCGCCCTTTTTTTTTTTTTTTTTTTTCTCTCTCTCTATGCACTGGATTTCAATCTCAATCTCGTTACTTTCCTTAAATTGCATCAGATTGTGATTGATTTCACGGCGTCGTGGTGCGGTCCTTGCAAATTCATCAGCCCAGCGTTTACCGATATGGCCGCAAAGTTTACTGACGTTGACTTCGTCAAAATCGACGTGGACGAATTACCTGTGATTTTCAGTCCCTCTTTTCTAATTGAGTCCAATTAATTAATTTTGTTATCAAGTTTTAATTTTGTGTTTTGTGGAATAGGATGTGGCGCAGGAGTATGGAGTGCAGGCCATGCCCACGTTTCTGTTGTTGAAGAAAGGGGCGGAAGTTGACAGGGTCGTTGGTGCCAAAAAGGACGAGCTTGAAAGGAAAGTTGCGAAACATAGAACTGCATAACTCCAAGCTTAGCTCTTCAATCTTTGTATCTCCTTTTCTGTTAAGGGTAAAAAAAAATAAGAAGGAGCATAAATGGTTGTATTTGTTCTAATTTGTTGATTTAGTTGTGAAACTAACCTTAAAGTTTATAATACCATTAACAATATCTTACATTTACGTATCACTTCCCCAAACTAAGAAACATCATCGTGCATCTTCTATATGTAATTAATGTGCTGACAATCATTAATGTGTTATAATCCTTAAAAACTACAACACAAGTATTAATAGTCTTTCAATAACTTCCTTAAAAAAATAATCTTTCAATAATAGGATTATATCACAACACAAAGTGACAACACCTTAAGTTATAAAATAAATAAAAAATATTTAATTAAGTAGACTGACATGTTAACTCACTTTGGCCTTATAGATAAGAAGGCCAAGTAAGGTAGATTAGGTGAACTAGCAAACTAAATTATATATCCACCCCACCAATTTTTGGCAAAGTAATGGACCGATTGACAAGTCACAATCCACTTTTCCTCCCCTATTTTTTTCATTACATATATTTTCATGACGAGGCTAAGATGAATTACCTTAATAGATAGTTTATCATGTTCCACTATTTACCTCCGTTAGATTAATATGAGATATGGAGTCTCCTCCCATTACCATTGACCACCATACATATCGTTGTCTACGATGTTCCACTATTAGAACAATTTCCGGTAGCAGTGACACCTTTTTCCCTCTTCCTCTTCATTATTAGAATGCTTGCGTCTATTGCATGTTGTGTGTTATAGAATGATGATAATGAGCATTAATATGCTATGTTTGTGTACTTGAAATGATAATAAACATTGGAATGCTATCTTTGTGTACTTGAAATGCTAATAAGCATTGGAATGCTATCCTTGTGTACTTGAAATGGTGATGAGCATTGATATGCTTTATATGTTTGATATGTTATGTTGAATTAATTGTGGAGCATTGATATGCTATTATTGTATGAATTGTACGTTTAACATTGGTATGCTGTTATTGGTTGAGATGTTAAGCATTGGTATGTTGTACATGATTAATGTTGTTGATCTCTATATGCATTGCCTGGATGTAATGTATATAGTAGATGTATGATGAGGTGTGGATGCTGAGAATGCGGTGTGACATTATAGCATGATGGCTAACTTAGGATTTGAGGAGAGAAAATTATTTTGAAAATTGAAGATCTCACATAGGGTATCTTGGAGTGGTGCTTGGGTAGGCCACTGTTTGGAAAACCCTCCTTGAGTAGTTGTGTCTTTTGGAGTAGGTTTTGAGGTGTGTTGAGTCTCCTCCAAATCCTTAGTTAGTAGTTGAGTAAGGTAGGAGGTCGAGGGCTACAACCCTTAACCAAGTACCTAGAAAGGTTGCGTGGTTCCTTGAGGATAATTAGTGGGCGGATTCCATATGTGACTTGGTAATGCATGCCAAGATCGTGGTAAACCTATACCCAGTTGTACTACTCCTGATAGTGGAACTGAACTTTCCTAATGTAAGTGATGAGACACAAGAAACCAGAGGAGGGATTGATATCCCATTTTGCTGTGATCGAGCCGACGCTTCGAGCGTGAAAATGACTGGGTTGGTTCGATAGGGTGAAAATCGCTTAGACTACTCATGTTGTTAGGAGATATCCATAGGTGAATGTGTGACGACACATTGGTCAATGTGTTTGCATATGATGTATGTTGAGATGTGCTCATGTGCATTTGATGTCTTTTTGGACATGATTGGGTGAGGTACATGCTTGGTTGGGATGTGATTAGTTTTCATACATGATATTTGGTGTGTTGTTGTATATTATAGACTTGTTTCTATATGTGTATGTTTTTAAACTCTAGCTTACCCTTGTATGTTTTCATGTGGTTTGTACTGCGATGGTTATACGATATATGGGAGCAAGGCAGAGATAAGTTGGGAGATAATTGTTAAAGGCCACAAGAGGTGCCTGGAGTGAATGTTTCTTTTGTAGACTACCTTATAGTAGCATATTTTGTTGTATATAGTTGTGTGTTGTTAGTTGCTTGCTTGACAACTTGTGTTGTAAATATTTTTATTATACTATTTTAGTATATATTCCAGTAGTGTATTCTATTGTTCCGTATTGTGACTTATTATATTTTGTTTAAGAATATTTTCTCGATATATTTTCATGATATTCTAGTTCCCTTCATAAATTTATTTTATTATTTAATATCTTATTTGATAAACAAACAAAAGGATCTAATAAAGATATATTTTTGAAAAAGTATATTGAAACTCAAATTTAATTAAAATATTTAAATATATATTATCATTTCATCATGACCAATAATTTATCTTAAATAACTTACTTTAGCAAATTAACAATAAACTAAAATTATTTAATTGATAAAATATAAAAACTAAATGTGCCGTAATTTTTTTTTAGAAAGTTAAAATTACTCAGTTATCAAATAAAATGGATTGAATGTGAATTTAGGTTTATTTTCTTTTTCCTATTCTTTAATTTCTTTAGTAATTCATTTTACACATCCCTCTTACATTTAACCAATTTCGCTTCTAACTAATTCAAATTATTATTTTTATTATTTTATCTGATTTTCTTCATCAATCACCATTTTTTTTAAAATATTAACTCAACTTCTAAACATTCCAACATTTTTTTTAAAGAAATTATCAACAAAAAAATATTTTCTTAAAATCTAAATAATTTATTATTAATTTATATTTATAAAATTTATTCACTACGCATTTGAATTATAATAATATTTAAACATTTAAAAAATATATTTATTAAAAATAAATATTTATAATTAAATATGAATATGAAAATCTTTATATTAAAATTGTAAAATAGAAGCCGAATAATGGTTGAAATATAGAACATTTAAGAAAGCATAGTAAGGAAAGAAGAGAGGTATCACCATTCATTCAGCTATGGGTAGTTTCATTTCTTCCTTACTTGGCTCCAGCTACGATCCGTCGGAGGCCTCGCCGGAGGATTCTCGCGTGTTGACCTTCCACTCCGCGCCACGCTGGCAGCTCCATTTCAACTCTGTCAAAGAAACCCCTAAGCTCGTAAAACCCTAGATCTCAATTCGCCCTTTTTTTTTTTTTTTTTTTT